TTAAAGCAGAATTATAGGAATGTGTACTCTGTTTCCATATCATCAGACTTGGTGAGTCAAAACCAATATTCTTTTTGAGATGAATGATTCAATGGAGATAAAACTGGAAAAATTATATGTGTTTCAATTAGTGCTTGTGATGCATGCATACTAGACTTGTATGTCTATATATCCTAGAGTAGCAGGAAAAGATGAATTAAAGCATGTTATTTGAAAATTAATGCAGAGTTGCTGGACATTTTCACTGTGGCATATTAATATTGTTTCTATATCGTCCGTCTCGTATAGATCGGGGGTACATATTGTTTTTGTCCTGTCTGTTTATTTGTAAACTTTAACCTTCACCATTACTTTTAAACCAATGAGAGGTAAAGATTTCATATTTGGTATGTCTACTCCACTAATTAAGTTCTTTCAAATGACATCAAGGTCAATGACCTTGTGACCTTGACTGTGACCTATATGCTAAAAATAGCTTTTTCAAATATTCATCATAACTCAAAATCAATGAAAGATAGAGACTTTATACTTAGTATGCATAATTCACTAATTTAGCTTTTTCAAAAGACACCTGAAGGTCAATGACCTTGAGACCTTGGCTGTGACCCATAGCTTTAAAATAGATTTTATGAATCTTGGACATAAATCTTGAGCCATAAAAGATAGAAAACTTGTATTACGTATGCACCCTTCATTAATTAAGCTCTTTCAAATAACACCAAGGTCAATGACCTTGGGACCTTGACTGTGACCATATACTTCAAATAGATTTTTTGAAACTTCAACATAACTTTTGTGTCATAAAAGATGGAGAATTCATATTTGGTATGCACCCTTCACTAATTAAACTCTTTCAAGTAACACCAAGGTCAATGACAATTTGACCTTTACTGTGACCCATATGCTAAAAATAGCCATTTTGATCCTCTGCCATAAATTTTGAACTATAAGAAATAGAGACTTCATATTTAGTATGCATACTCCACTAATTAAGTTCTTTCAAATTACACCAAAAAAAAAATTACACCAAGATCAATGACCTTGTAACCTTGACTGTGACCCATATGCTATAAATAGCTTTTTCAAACTTTATTGCCACCAGGCGCACAGTGTTTCACTAACATATCTTGATTTTCATTATGGTGATCAACATAATTTTCTATCTGTTCAAAGAATAGCAGAAGTAGCTATTTCTTATTGACCCTGTGGCGTGCTATTGTTTGTTATATTCCTCAGCACAGTTTGTTAATTGTTAGATTGATAGATTATTATTTTTATTAAATACCAATTTATATCTAACTTACATACGAAAAACGATATTGCCGCAATATTGCGGCAATAATGCCGGAAGATGTTGCCAGAAGATCAATATTTTGGTCATGATTTGCAGTAATATTGCCGCAACCCCTTTTTCTGGCAATATTGCCGCAAAACTAATTTACATACAAAAAAAACAATATAGCCGAAATATTGCGGCAATGTATTGCCAGAATGTTGCTGCAATATTGCGGCAATAAAGCCAGAGGATGTTGCCAGAAGGTCTAAATTTCGTAAGGGCTTGGACAAGAAATGTGGTTTTGTGAACAGATAAACCTCTTCAGCAAACTCTGATTATTCTGCAGCATTGTCTCTGCATGGAATTCATATCCTCCATGTAAAACTTCACTTGATCTATCTCAAGGAAGCATTCTCTTGCATACTCCTACGCCCTGGTTATGATCACCCCCTCAAACCTTAAGATATGCAATTCTTAACTTCTAAGTACATAAAAATATTACTCTTACTCATTATAATAATTAAGAGAAAACATTATGCCATTTACCATGTCGACGGAAACCATTTTCAAACACTCAGTTTGATTCCTTTTTTCAAGGACACAATAATCTAGTCTTTAGATACCATCTTTCTGATAATGTCTGTAAATAGCTACATTATTGAACTTTATCTCCTTCAAATATTTTTTTCCATAGAAAAATATTTAATAGGAATAGAAATAACGTACAGTTATGAAGCTCAAAAATCCACTGAAGCCATACATATCAGGAGCAGTGCAAAAACGGACATCCAAGTATATCAGAGGTGGGATCAGGAGTATGCATGAAGCTTTCCTTTTCGACCCACTGTTTGCTCCTTCCGATTGAAACATATGCATTTTCTCAAAAAAAGAGATCAACATAATTTTAAAACTAACTGGATTATCAATCGCAAACAAAAGTCAACAACATTTAACTTTAAATTTTCATCCGAGTAAAGCGATGAATTAAGACAAATTTATATATCTTAACATTTGAAAAACATATTTTACGACTGAATTTCTGATTAGATTCGTATTTCGAAATTGTACGTTTGTGAAAGAAAATATATTTCATGGCTGTAAACCACAGCATAGTTGACATTCAAAACTCATGCAGTTTATGGAGATTATCAATTTCAAATACAGTTTATGAGAACAAGAAATATTGAATAGATTTTTACGTCAAAAAACTATTATTTATACATGTGCCAGGAATCGGTAGTTCATAGTTAATAATGATTTACAAAACCTATCATTATAATTATTCCTACAAATTAATATAAACTTTCTTGGCTTGCATAAGTTATCGACTTAGAAATATTTAATGTAATTAACAGATACAAGTCATTTTACAAATCGTTCAGTATGAGTGAGTATACATTTAGCTATAAATAGTTGCAGCTGATTACCATTCATGTAGTTTTGCAGCTGTAATACCATGTTTAGCTCATTTTCGTGAAATTGGTGTGTCATATATTCCTAGACATTTTCTATTATATAACCTTTGGGTGTTAGGCTCAAATATGATGGTGTTCGACTGTCTTTAATCACTTAGTCTATGTGAGTCATCTCATATCGGGACACGTTAATGTAATTAAATAGTAGAATGAAATAGGCCAGTGGTCTAGTTTCAAAGACTGAGTTTCTGACTCATGAAAACCAATTCATATCTTCACGGCTACAGCAAGGGGAAGATGTCATCCGAATCGATAAAAAAAAAAGAAGCCTCGCAGAAAAACGGGAATCAAGAAATTAAATCGGCTATGGATTTTTTTTTGGTAATAAAAAGTATAATACAATATGAAACAGTAGAAAAAAATATATCAGTCTTTTAATGTTATATCTTGCATGCATTGACTTCAGTAAAGGTGCAGAGTTTCTTGAATATCTGTCATCTTGGTACTGGGGTTGTCTCAATATACAGTTATAATGAAATATGGAAAACGAATGTAGTACTTAAGCTCAAAGATCTACCGAAACAACACTTAACAACACACTCGGAAACAGAGCAAACATGAGCCTATAAAGACATATAAGGTTGGATAGGGAGCCATGGAGTAGTGAGCATCCCCAGCCAATCGGTCACACTCGCTGTGTCCTTTTATGCTTGGAAGAAGCAGAAATTTCGTAAATTATTGTGTAATTAATCACTTAACAATTGATATAATTATATACATCAGTCTGCAATTAACTTCACGATAGATTAAATTTGACGACAAAATAAGTAATCGACCATAGAACTTGCAAAACGACGAATTATAACAAAACTGTTGATGTTCTTGTTTCATCAACATACTTATCAATAGCTTGCCTAGTTATAGATATTGTTTGTACTAAGAACATACGCCTTGCTCTTGCATATCGAACCAAATTGAAGGCAAAACTCCGTATGGAGGTGAGACTACAGAGTTAAGGAAAGTTGACGATTGAAAAGTTAGAGTCATCAGGTTTATCATTAAGCTTCAGTTGGTTTTAAGATAACAATTAACGTCTTTTTAAAGCAGAAATATTTGAATCTAATAGAGTACAGGAATACATGTTCAAATTGTAGATTCAACTATGTTTTTGATTTTTTTCATAATTATTTCTAGTGTGTAAAAACTTATGCAAGAATATATTTTTGTTCTTTAAATCCACTGGCAAGCAAATTGACTTAAACAATTGGTCATTTTTTTTATTTCAGATTTTTTAAACAATAAAATGCTTTCTTTGTTTGTTGTTACTGGAATGAACGGAAGCAGCTGTTGCAGAAAAAATACATATTACTATGTAATTTTTTTCTGCAATAGCTGCGACCATTCATTCCAGTAACAACAAACAAAGAAAGCATTTTATTGTTTATATTTATATCTGTTTAAATAATCAATTAAAGTAGGATTAAAAAGATTAATTATTGTATTAATGATGCGAACGTCTTTATACGTTTCATTGATGGAACAGCCACTGATTAAGAAATCTGTACAGGCGACCTGCCTACTGTAGTTTATGCAGTGATGAACGCAATGGGGTTTCTTAAGAAATAAAGGAGAAAATATTCAGTGGATATAAATATTAACATGTTCTTTTTTAACAGTCTTTGAAAAGGAACACTTAATAATATGTACATGTAAAAATTTAATATAAATAACAGCAGAAAGTCCTTGTAACAAATGTGAAAAACATTTATTTCCAATTTTATATCAAAAAATACCCTGTATGTTTAACTTACAGTGCTTGTACAAATAGGTTATGATGATAATTCGTGCGCATAAAGATGTTTAATTAAAACAAAGATTTGTTCATGAATGATAATGAAATACAAACATAAAAAACAAAATTGACAATTCTAAGGAATAGAAAAATATATCTACATGTTATAATTTAAGAAATGGAAAAATGTTAAATACATTTTTCGTAATGTTAGCACTGAGGGGTGCAGACAAATTCAGTCTAATTATGACCGCTTCTTAAATTTTAGATAAAATTTGAAAGGCATATTATTTTATAATAGAATATTACTATTTAAAATTACTTTCAAGGAAAACTGAAAAAATTTTTTTAACACATTAATTTTACAAACTATTGATGCTTTCATATTTTGTTTTGGGGAAAGTAAGAAGGACCAGTCTAAACATTTACATATATTCCATTCAATAAAAAGATTAAGCTCGTGTTGTAACAAAGCCTGGACAATATCAAATTTACATTTTTTTTTTTAAATATCTGTATCCTTTTGTACATAAATGTCAGGTTTCTTAAAATCAAGTCATTCTTGTAAACATAAAAATTGCGAAAGAAGGTTATCATGTACAGATCTAGTACCTGTTAGACACTTGATATGTTTATATTTTTCTAAATCTTCAAAATCTTGTCTTTTAAAAGTCATCATTGGGAGACGATTAAACATAACAGTACGAAATATTTTATGTACAAACTGATTAGATTTAAGTCGATTAAACACGTCAGTAGGACATATTATATGTACAATTTGATTAGATTAAAGTCGATTTTCTACTTATGTTAAAACTAAAGTTCGATGACCTTTCTTTGAACTTTATATCTGATATTTAAATGAAATAAATCATCGTTATTCATTTGAATTATGGCAAAATTATTGACATATATTATAAAAAAATAAATCAGGAAAATTAAGAATCTTAGGAATTTTTTAAAAGGGGGAAGTTGAACATATTTTCAGGATTCTTCAATGTAAAAAAAGTTATTATTTAACATTTTTATAATAACTAGCTTTCCTGTCAATGCATTATCATATTTCATCATTTCAAAAAAAAAAATTCTTTATAAATGTCACTTTTCTTTAAACAGAAAACGATCATCAATTATATTTAAATGAATAAATTAAGTATTCATGAGTGATGATTGCCATAAGTTAAGAGCACAATAAGAGAGAAAAAACAGGTGTTTGAATTTATACACTTAACATTTTATAAAACGAAAGAAAGAACAGGGCATATGACATAACAGCTGATAGAAAATAAGTGTTGCCCTGAATCTATTGCTATGTGCAATGCTTCAGAATGAATACATGTAATTATGAATTTTCAACACAGTTGCGTATTCAAATAAATAAATGTGTGTGTGCTGTACATACAATGTACTTGTATTCACATGGACATATTTTATAAGCATAAATGTCATAAAACTATCCTTACTTTCCTTTATTTAACCAAAGCTAGTATGAATTTATAATTTTTTGTAACATTATCCCCTCTCTCTCTGTTAAGTTCAATATAACATCTTTTTTGTCTTCTCCAATTCGAAAAGGATAGTGCAATATTTTCCGAGACATATTATCTAATATCTGTACAAACATGGTTTATGATGAAATGATATGAATAACATTCTATTTTAGTAAAATAAATCAACAAATACTTGCAATAAACACAAGTGTTTATGACAAAGTCAATACAATGAAGAGACGATCAGTCATTGGTCAACTACAGCAGTAACAATTTTCTGGCAGCCAATCGAAGTGCTCGTCACATTTTTCAAATGCGCGAAACAGTTTGCACTATGAACCACGATTCAGTGATTTTTCTCCTCTGTTTCACAATATATCCCATCACATCTCATTGATAAAGTCGTATTAGCACTTTATAAATGGGCGGAATAAAAAAGTTTTTTCTTCACAGAGAAGTTTCTGTCTCCGTTATGGGATGGCAAGTTTTACTTTCGCAAGGTCTGGCCTCACTTAACGACAAAGAAGATTTATCCCACTTCCGAGAAATAAAATAGTCGCTCGTTCACTTGCAGATATACACATCTTCAATTCGTTCACAAGTCTGACACTCGACATAACAACACCACTTAAATTTACACTTGCACCGTTCCACCACTTTCCGTTTAAAAGTGTTATATCCGCGCCCACAGCACAGAAGATTACACCCGTCCATTCCGCTGGACGTTTTACTACACTCCCTTCCTACTGTACCACGTGACCCTGTTTCTGGGTTGGCGTTACAATAGTCAGGGGAGTTCTCAAAGTACACTAGGTCTTCTGAAGTGGGTTTATTGAATTTCTTGTTCCTACGAATGAGTTTTGTTCCCCGTTTGTTGAACCTGACCTCTACCGCGCCATCATATCGTTCTTTAAGCCTATCTCCCACGTCTCTAAAGGCGGGTAACTGCTGCCAACACGTTCTCAAACTGCACGATCCTGAAACTCCATGACACTTACAGGCCACCATAGCGTAATTGTACACCGCCTGTAAAAGAGAAGAATGATTTATATATGTTGTTTAGAATTTCGGTTAAATTAGTTCACCCCCACTTAGAAAGATAGAATAAGAGATTGTGAGTATCATAACCCAGACCTTCCCTCTTTTATTTGGATTTTATTGTCATTTCAAAAATTATAGGAACGTCCTCGGTAGAAGTTACATTGACTTTGTATTGAATATACCTTGTTCATATTTTTCAATATACATTTAGCTACACTGCATTACTGTCAGATTATATATATAAAAAGAATAAAGCAAACTATTGCAGCTCATAAAATAGACGCATGAAATCTTTTCGGAGCAATGGCTGGAAAGGAAGGTGAAATGACAGCCCAGAGATATAATGTTTTCTTGCACAAAATTGTCACGAGGCATTGTACAAATATTTAACTCGTGTCTACCAAACGAAAACGTTTCCAACTGGATTTGATACCTGTTTTACTCTCGATTGTTTTAGCAAACAGTCGTTCCTCGAAGGTAATGCATAAGAAAATACGGAGAGAGAAAAATCTCAACTATGTGTTTATAATCAAATAAACATGTCATTCCCTTATCGCATACATTTCATAATTCTATATTTTTTTGACATCCGTGTAAATATATCTATATGATAGACATTTATAACTTCCGCTTATTTTTGGAAATTTTACAAGCAAGGTTATGGGATATTCCTGAGTTTGTAATAAATTCAATAGGCAGCTTTGTTTCACAGTTTCGCTACAAACTTCACTGTTTGCAATAATAGAAGATTGGTTTTCTCCGATACGGTCTAATTTCGAAAGTACATAATAAATACACCTCTTCGTTTTTTAATAAGTATTACCAAATGATTTTGGGTGTGAGTATCAAACTTAACGAAATGATTATGCATCATGTATCCTTTTTCTATAGCTTAATTCAAGTAGAAAAGTACCCTTAAAATCTCGCTGTTTACAGAAAAAAGGAAAAGACAGTTTCTTAACCAAAAAACTGTTCTAAATGACCTTGCATTGCTAATCTCTATTATTTAATGCAATTCTCAAATCATGTACTTCACACAAAACTTGCACTTAAAATTCTTTGGGGGAAAAAGTTCAGAGAATTTTTTTCTAGCGATGAATGACGTATTGCCCGTTATTTGTCTCGACACCCTTCCAGTCGAATAGCAGAAACCCTATCATTCATCTTCATAAAAATTATTGTTTTTGTTGATGATTTTTTTTTCTTTGTCTTTCTTTTCTTTATATTTTAGTTTGAAAATAAGTACAGGAGTCGGTTTGCATGTACCGGTATGTAAAAAAAATAATTAATAATTATTTTAACAAACAAATCCAACAATCACATTAAATACTTTTCTTTGATTAAAAAGAAAATTACGAGAAATATGAGAATGTCTAAATAATTCGACCTATGGCAGAACTTGACACACGTAGTGTCAGACAAAACCATAATTCCTGTAGCAATCACAAAAGCATCGATCTTCACAGTCGACATGATTTATTGCCGAATTTCCTCCTAAATCTCCGATATGACAACTCTCCATCAAAAAGCACAGATCGAATACATTACATACTCAGCATTTAGCAAGGTAAACGCTGATTAACTGATAACTTTCTGTCTTTGGCTAACACCTGTGTTCAGGGATTTCAATGTTTTTTTTAATGTTTAAGTGAAAGCGATTCGTCAAATTTGACAAATCTTTCAAGAATCTTAAAAGTCTCGTGTTTAAAACTGCCTTTTGATTATCATTCCGTCGGTTGGTATTTTTCGCCCTCGGCATTTTATTTCTCAAGGACTCTTTCAATGTAAATTCAACTGACGTGTGAGAGAGTTTCTCTTAGTTTAGGATGAAATTCGAATAATTGAGGATTGCCTGTCGGATTTTAGATTTCTTCCAAAGATGAAATTGTATATCGGTACATTTCTAATTTGTTAAGTTAATAAATATAAGGATCTACCCGGACTCCTATTCTTTATGATACATATTTAAGTTTTAAAAAATCTGTATTTTATTACCCTATTTTGTTTTTTATGTAGTGTAATTGATTTCAAGTATTCATGTACAATTTCGGGACTGTTTCTTCACACGAATAGCTTGGTCTATTGCTTCCAATAATTAGATGGGTCGGCATTTTCAACTTTTATGACATTCTCCAATTATAAACTTAAAACGATCACATTCATATATTTAATGAATGATCAAAGTTCTGCTTTTCTTTGACTTTCATCTCATCGCCGATTAACTTTCCCTATTCAGTTTAAAAGCTTAGAAACTGGGTACCATAACTATTTTCTCAGATTAAAATAAGGCTCAGAAATACATGTATGCTGAAAAGCTTTTGGAAATATAAATGCGCCATTCAGTTTTATTTTGACTAAAGTCTTTGAAGTTTGTTTTTAATAATCAATCAATAAAAAAGATAAATACATTCGCTAGAATACGAATTCTTAATTACTGGTTATTAAAAAAAATAAGTCAGTGTTTTTTATAAATGTAGTTGGCAGGTGATGCGGTTATGATTAAATTTTGGTAGAAGAGAGAGAATATTTGAACTATGAAAATAAAACAAGAGTTAAAAATACTAAGTATAGGACGTCTACCGAGATCTGTAAAAGGCTAATGTCAAAAAACTGCATTATGTTATTCAATTTTGTGAACACACATAACCCTTTAACTTGATTAATTTAAACTTGTAATGTACCTAGGTACTTTCTAAATTTCGTATAATATCTTCACAGTGGTCGAGTGGGGACATGCTATACTTTTTTGAAACACTTTTAAAAACATACATTCATGTTCAATGTACAATGAAACATTCTGATTAATATGTATTGTTTAACATCAAGTTTTCGTAACGAGTTCATTATCGTAACGCGTTCCATTTCAATTTAAGCAGAATCTCTCTTTAAAGTATTAACCATATTTTGTCCGTAGCCTCAAATTTCAGTTTCTAAGTCACACTTACTTACAGAATCTCAACACAACACTAGCGAAATTTGAGCGATCATTGCTTTTCCCGTGTGTGCTAGTAAACACTTTTTTGCATTTTTATCTCTTCGTTGATCTGAAACCTTAAAATGACAGCGATGTCTGACAGTATATCTTAACTTATCATCTCAAAATTAATCGCTGTCATCGGCCGGAACCTTGCCTGACAATGACTACCGCTAATACCCCGTATCCCACGTCTGTCCTATAACCACGCAACGAAGAGCAATCCCCATATTGCAATATACATGATATAGTCCCGCAGTAAATAACGCACTATGCCAACACACTCCGCAGTAAATGAAATTTTGTATATTTTATGTTCGACGCACGTTTTCTTTCCTAAACTGAATGCCAATCTGTTTTTAAGTATTTCCGTGTGTTTAAATGTACATTAAGGATTCAATGTTTCTCGAAAAAATAAGAAGTTTTCATTAAAATGTCGTTTGGATTCGAAATAGTTCTATCTATTTCCTCGCTTTCCGCCCCGATCGGAAAATTTATTTGCTCTAGTTAAAGATATTAACAGTGAAATGAATCTTGACATATATTCCATAAGGCATAAAAGGAACAAATGTTATTGGCATGAAGAACTCATAATAAACTAATCTACTGTGCAAATAACTTTGCTTTGGATGATTCATAAGATTAACAAGTTTGAGATGGGTATCATTTTAATCATTTAGAAATGTAATCTCCAAAGAATAAAAAGTGAATCATAGCATATGCATGTGTAAATTAACAAATTAAAATCCATTCAAACTGAATCCTCAAATACGTCATTCTATTCTTACATTGTCAATCAAGTTCTTATTCCAGGTGACAAGTCGAACATATAGTGTCACGTGACGAAAAAACTAATCACTTTATGTCATAAATGTTATCTGCAAACGGAACTAGCATCTATAATTCAAGGGCTTAAGGACAAAAAATACAAAAGGGAGAAATATATAGATATGAAAGGAATCTTGTGACTGTTAGAGGTTCATGCAGATTTTTGATAAGCATGGATGCAATGAATGGAATATGTATAAAAAGTTATCATTATGAATGCGGTAGACAGAGTATATGCTGTAGATTGTCGATTTAATGAATGCTTAAGGAGATCAGACGGATTTATTTTTTAAAAATAGGACAAATTGTGTTCGTGACAAAAAAGATTTTAAAAAGAGGAAACTATATATGCCTATGTCTGTTAACAATGGGAAAAAAATTATGTGTTCTAAGTTTATGTCTATAAGAAGGATTCCCTGATACTTGTAGTCCTTATGCACATACAAAAAATTGATTGTTTTTACTAAGAAGACATAACAATTAATAATTGGCTTGGTTTCTTGGAGGATCTAAAATGCAGGTGTTGTAATCTTTTAATAATTTGACATTGAAAACGAATTAAGTTGTCATCGGGTAGGGCTTTCGTTGGAAAAGTAAATACCCACGCCAGGATCCGCGACCACAGTGTAAAAAATGTGATCTTCCGAACTGTTCCGAGCGCTCAGCAAACACGACATCCGGTGACCCGCCACTTACGGCAGTCGTATCGGCTGGGTGAGCCACCTTAACAACCTGACTATGTAGACTGATTAGGAAGCCTCATCAAAAACAATGTCCCCGGCGGTTTACATGAATTATGAGAATGGTGAACTTTCTATATAACCACAAGCCTTAATCTCACTTAAGCTCTTTAAGGTACCACCCCTTTTGAAGGAACTTGATAAAGTGAGTGCCAAAAAAGTTTGAAAATTATTTCCACTGCATTGTTTTAATCTATAAACTTATGAACATCAATAGGAATCCCGTGTAAAATTCGGCCACAGACTTAATACCGAGAAGCTAAACTTAAGTTTACACGCACTGCGCAGAAATTAACATCAAATTTCGTCTCAGACGATTGGTCGATTGGACAATTTTTTCAGCTTCGCAGAAAATCTAAGGCAAGTGACCCTATTGACAAATACCCTCACTCTCTGAACTCGGTGAAAATGCCATCATTACTTTGTGGACAATAGCCTTTGTCTTCCAATCTATTAAGGAAGTGTTTTATAAGAGCTGTAGACATAGCAGAGCGTAAATATTCAAAAAAGGATAGCAGGTGCGTGAAATCTCAGTTAATGGAATCAACAAGTGGAAGGATTAGCCTAAATCCCGGCTAGACCCCGCCTGATATGAACAATCATTATTTTAGTCACGGGCAATGTTAATCCTTTAATGTGTATTGTCTTTCTTAAAAAAAGATCACAAAAGTTTTGAAATTTTAAAACTTCCTTTTTTTCCTTTCATTATTTCCATGTTACAAACAAGATAGCCATTGATATACGGTGTTCGGTGACAACAATAAAGCTGTTGGTGTTATATTTAGGCACGGGTTGAAAAATGAACATGCATTTACCCTGTCATAAAACCTCAAATTTAGAAAGCGGTGTGTGGTTGTTTTCCAACAGGAGTAATCGGGCGTATATTCGGAATAAATCACTTATTATGAAAATTCTGGGATGCAACACGACGCCACCCGAATAGATGTAGGGAATGTAAAACCATCTTCATTCCGGCCGGGAACATAAATTACCTCATATTTGAGATATTTTCGATGATTTGTTAAACCATCAAAATAAAGCAGTCAGTCAGGCTGCAATAATTGTTTTATCTTAGTTAATGTGTTTTGTTTTATTCGAAGAATAAAATTTAGAGGAGATAATCTTCGCGAAGCGAATTTGATGAATGAATCGAACTATTCTTAGACGTCACGCTCAGTTGGCATGTAAAATATATATACAGTAATGCAGGATTACCTTAAATTAAAGTATAACAATAATTTAATTTAAATATCGCATTCAGTAGAATACAATAGTAGATTTACCCACAAAAAGCACCCCTCTCTTATTATAAAGGGTTAATGAATCGAGGTTCCGAAAATTCATTGACTTCACCCTTCATTCCATTTTATCATGAATCAAAAGTCTTATCTACGGTTATATCTATTCATGGGAGTTCATTAAAATTTAAAAATACTGTATACTATCTACATTGTACTTTATTATGATAAAATTCAGTTGTTAACTCATCCATCCAATCTTAGATAGTTATCAAATATTTTTACTCCAGATATTGAATTTATTAATTTCTCGGTGAATAATTTTACGGCTTTCTTCTTTTAAAATTTTTAGTTGTCAAGTTTACAATAGAAAATTGATTAATGATTTGTTCAAGAATTTTTAATTCAAGAACATATCAAATTTCAAACATATTTTGTTCTATAAATATCCTGACATTTATTTTTTTTCTTGCTTGTGCATTCATCTTACTATTCACGACTGCCGTACATGTAGGTGGGACTCGCAAAATTTAAGTTACGACGACCAAAAATTACTCGAAATAAATCTGTTTCTTTTTAATTAATAGATTTATTTCCTATCTTTATTTTATACAGCTAATGCCGCTTTGACACGAAAAACATTAGAATTCCGTAAGTTGCAAGAAAAATTTTGACACATCTATTTTGCAGTCCATTAAACTGTAAGACGTCAAGGTTCATTACGAGAAAAAGACAATGATAATTAACGTAATTAGTTTTTGTAAACTTTAAAATGATTTTAAGAGCTTTTTTGACCTGGATTTCTGCTACATTTGACCAGAGTTTGAATTTGAGTCAAATCGGTCCCTTCGCTATATTAATCAAATGTATGCCGAGCGACACTGTGAGTGGAAAATTCGCACCGAGAAAAACTACTCACATTTTTTTTAACATCATGAAGAATATTAAAAATGAGCAAAATTAGAATAAAGCCAAGTCTGATGGCAAAATTTCCATACATTTCAAAATATCGTTTGCGTGCTTTCAAGCATCCGAGGTAACAGTAGAACGAAGTTCCAACCCTAACTCTAAACAGAGCACACATATATTGCTCTTAGACAAGTTTACAGCATTTCAAACGTAGACCGTTATAGGTAAAAACACGGCGTTGCTGGCGTGAAGTCTTATATGAGTTTGCTCAGAGATTGGCAGGCTTGTACTGTTGAAGATAACATAATGTGACTTCGTTAGCATAGCACTGTCTTGCTAATCGTTATATCGGTAATATAACTTCTCAGCGAAGTTAGAACCCAGAAGCCTGTCACTCAAACTAATAGTAAAGCCGGCTAGTGTGGAAGTATGTTCTTACAACCTAGCTTATACATATATAAAAAAAAATGTAAGGTCGTCGGGGGACAAAATAATTTACAATTTAAGGTATAATTATACAATCTTAAAAGTTGGAAACAGTATCTGATGAAAACTTTATAACAAAATAACTATTTAGCTTTGATACTTTCATCTTATAAAATGTATTTTTGTATTTTCCTCACATTCTGTTTATATGTGTCTATTCAATTTGATTTTGAAATATGGTTTCTTCGAATTTTTATTGCAGTGAATGAATGTTGTCTTTTTTGAGGCAGTTATCTTAAAACGAGATTTTAGTTAAAAAAAAAACATTTTCTTAACTCGGTTTTTGCAATAGAGAAGCACTCTTTGACCTGCCTCTTATGTCACTTATCTGAAATGTCTTTTAAATGTATACAAATTGTTTACATTAACATTATTTGAAACTCTACATGACATCTGTATGCTGAAATTTTTCTTTTAACCAACAGTTGTAAACCAAAAGATTGTCTACTATAAACACGTGAAATGTTTACAGATTACAAAGATAAATTTCCATGTAGCAAATTCTTTGTTAAAGAATTGCTCAACTTCAAAACCTTTTATCAAACTTCAAGAGACAAGGTAATCAGAGGAAAAGGGGTTCTAAAGCTCTAAATCGTCAGCTGTTGTTGAAATATGCAGCATATTACAATACCCTTGTCATACGCAGACTTCAAAATGGCGCCAAATGCAGGACCTTTCGATGATTTACCAAGATTCTTTTTGCACAGGAAGCAGTTGCATGTTCCAAACTAAGTTACCACGGAGCTGTTTATTTCAGTGCAAAGTTTATTGCACAAACAGACGGGACATTAAATGCTAATTTTCAAAGATTCATCACAAGTGCACGTGGTAGAATTGCGGATTCTTTGGAATATCGCTCGGGGGATGCCGTTTCCAAACGTTTCCTTCATGTTGGAATTAAGTGATCAAAGGACTTGTTACGTCAAACAGAACTACCCGCCGCAGGGGGTATAATTTGGATTAAAAGAACATCATCAGTGGTCGTGATTATGTAACGTAAAACACCCACAGCATCATGGACAATTTGCTTAGATTGCACATTTTCCAAATTCATCAGATAAATTTTGAATTTCCCACCAAAATGTACTCACCCGAAGTCCTGCTTCGTTGTTATGGAGATTCATTAACATTCGCCCAAGTTCCCTGGAGCCTCTCCTATGGTTTTTATCTCTTTCACGTGTATCTACGAAGTATTTGGCGAATCTGTACCCGTACTCTATATTATCCCCACATCCACCCCAGATCCAGTCCCGGGCCATGTCTTTTGGTCGCCCGGCTTTGCTACACCCACATTTGCTCAGTTCGCCTTCCTTACACGAGCGACTGACGGAATGGATGACACCAGCAGATGATATTGCATGAGTAAAAGCAGCCTCTCTGCTTGCTGAAAAAAAATATACAATAGGAAAATGTTAAAGCAAGTGGTACCTTGTAGCACAAAATCAATGTTGCCCTGAAATAGTTAGAGCTTTGAAATATCAGAAAAATATTTTAAAATTAAACTTGAATTTTCGTAATGCATCTCAAAACAATATTATATCCCCTCTTTTACTAAACTTTGAATATGTATATAAGAATCCATCTAAGATTATTTATTTATGTTTCTCAAACTGATGCAGAGCCTCAGCACATACAGATGAATCTATCTCCCTTAAGGCTTCCAAACGGTCTAATTTGCTTGGAGGTACTCAATAAAAAAAATTTTACTTGTCTATACTCTCGACATAATGTAAATCATAAGTACATATAATTTAAAGAAGTGAGGCTTGGAAGATATTTCTTCGTATACACTACCGATGATGGTATATGTAAATGATAGCTGTAACATAAAGTAATGCGTGTCATTTTATTTTGTATGCATACATTGATTATAAACTTTATTATTTTTATATTTTATTGAATAAATAGTAAGGTTCTTTTTAAATATGAGATTCGTTTATATATTTTTGCATCGACCCTATATTTTAACTTAAACGATATTCCGTTAATTTAGCGGACTCAATGGGTGGGCTCAAGGATCCCTTTAAGGCTGAAAAATACCCTTATGATTATAACACAAGACTGGCCAATTATTGGACTTGAAATGGTTATCGTAAGTACATGGGATCAAAAAAGAGAGACAGGCTAAGTCTGTTCACAGACACCACACGAGATAAAGGCTTATAAAATATTTGTAGTCAATGTTTTTGGGGTCGCTGAATCCGGAATTATCCGCAGGCAGCGGATTAGCATATTCTGGACAGTATCAATGGCGGACTGTCAGAGTGCGATCGTGTCTGTCAAGATTCAGTCAGACGGATTGATTTTTTTCTAATACCTGAATGACAGGACTATGATCCTATTAATCATGGCTATTTGCTCTCTAAATCTATTTTTTTAATACAAAATGTACACAATATTCATCGAGATTAGTCTGATTAGGTTAAATCTATTTTCATTTTGATTAAATTGCAATTAAAACATTTTTCTTATGTCCTATTTTCTAAAGGCGGCGGAAAGGTTTATCTCTTGAGCATTACAAACACCTTCTCCCATTTCTAGATTGAATTCTAACTAATATCGTTTTTGTACTGACGTCTGGAAGGTGAGAGAAAGTACATGTATTTTCACTAAGCGTATTAACATTTAATAAAATTGGGTCGAAGTGTTTTGAGACACGGGTATCAAAATTAGCTTCAGCGACACTTTAAATGTTATTTCAAGCAAATTTAGAAAAATTCCAAACATGTTTTAACATTCCTGAAAGCTCATAACTCATTCTGCAGCATTATGTCTCTTGTTTTTGTTCTTTAATTAGCAAACACAGCGATAAGGGTGGAGCATCGACAACGGTTTGTTTACTCACTTGATTAGCTAACACCAACGACTTGTCATAGTTTTTACATACAATTTAAATGCTTAATTAATTGTTCTCTGACCGAAAACTTCCTAAATGTGTCTTCTGAATGGAGGAATTGTCACATCGAACAAACGCAGTTATCAGCTTGTTTGAACACGGGTAACCTTACCAGATCGTCCTGTCAGTTCTTTGTGTTTGTTTAATTTGACTGAGACAGTTGTAACAAAACTGAACAAAATCTTACAAAACAGTGTTGACGTTACATAACAAACACACTCAATTAAAATAAATATACACACGTATTATATACTTCAAAGTCGTGACTTTATGTGACATATCTATTTGAAATATCTCCAAATTGTTGGGTTAAATACCATATGAGATAGTGGGAATATGTAATACTTATATATAAACCTGTCTCCATAAAATAAAACAAAAAGATCTCGTTAACTTTTAAGTAAACACTTATCCCTTTGTTTGCTTATCTTCATTGCAAAACTGTATATAATGTTGAAAGCATCATCGACCCTGGCGCAGTATGGGGCCTATGTTTTCCCTCGACAATTAGCTCGCCATAGCTTTTTTTGCTAATTAGCACCGAGATAAATGGTATGGTTCTTACATATTCTATCTACACCAGCCATTTGGTTTTCTCGTCAGATGGTTTTCCCGTTAATTTTTATGGTTAGAAAACTTTCAGCTAATGCTTCTACCCCTCAATTCTCATTAATACACAGAGTATTTCTTTAATTTTCTCCAATTTTCAACATTATCTATCTTGCGTAAGATAGTTTGTCATTAATAATGGACTTTACTAGCTATTCTAAATATACATACATTTACATCTAAATATTTGCTACAGATGATTAAGACATATAAATACCTTCCAGAGAAAAAAAATTATTTTGAATTCTCATTTCTGATGGGTTTTCACTACCCATATCATGTATATATTGTAGAATACTGTAATTAACTCCTATTTTTTTCAATGTTTAGAGCCGAAGGGTAAACTTAAGGTAGAAATAGAATCACACATAAATAAACCCATTAAGTGAGTATTTTTGTTGAAAATTTAAAATTTATTAGACGAGGTAAATATAAAATATTTTACATCTCATTAACTAGTGATCATAAGTAAATATATCATGTTTATGATGTTTATAACATGGAAATGCGTAAAATGTTTTAATTGATAGATTGCGTTTACAGGTATAGTAAATGTTATTAAGTGCAAAAACAAATTTAATTTGATTATTTATCATATAACAGAATTCCGTAAATATCCGATTGATCATTTTAGGGACTCGGATCATTGGAATTCGAATGTGCGAATCAGATTGAAACTAATGCACATTTTATTGGCAATTTTATTTTCGGAATATCACCGTTTCAAAATAAAAAGGAAAAAATAGGTCGTTATGTCCTGCGGTAAAATATGCAAGATAAGTATGATTGGGTGCAAATATAAAAAAAATGTGCTTGGAAGTTATAGCGCGTTGAAAATGTGTCAAACGTATCAATATATACCACAAAATCGTCAGGTGAAGTGTCGACAGATATACGTTCGTGTCTGAAATCATTTATACAAAAAACGGAAGATCCCTTCCAGCACTGAACAGGGCCGTTTTGCCTTAATTACCAAACTATGTGACTTTATCATAGAAATCTCTCTATGGAGTCATGTTCAACCGAATGTTATGTGACACGACCTTCATATAAGAAACATTAAATTCAAAAATATTTTTTGTTTATGCCCCGTATCAGCTTTCCTGCCAAACTTGTGCAAGGTGTTATCCATGTAATAAGATCGGGTTTCAGGAGTGCTTTAGTTGCATCTCTTTGCTAGAGGAGGAAAATGTCATGTTGTAAAACAAGAGATTCTAATCCACACAAGGTTACCGAACCCGATGCTTACAACAGCTTTCCTCTGTCATCATTTGTATCAAAACATACTGCGATCACTAATCATAACATGAAAAGATTTTTGAGTTTTGTATGTACATTCATTTGTTATTCTTTACCAAATTATCTAATTCTCATTGCAGTAGCTATACATAATTAACAAGCGATGTATTTATGTTATCTGAACAGAAAAAATACGAATATCTTTCGAAAACCAAAAAGAAATAGCAAAAGCCATCACTGACGCAACTAACTTGAACTCCGATGATATCTGCACCCTGCTCTGCTAATCATCTAACGATTATGTTGGTTTTCTGTTGAAAACAGATTTGTTTTACAGTTGTTCTGTTTCCTGTAACAATTGTTATGGGTGTCCAAACCATCAGACTGTGATTTCTTTCGTACTTACCAACATTTAAGACTGGACCAAACACTGAAGAATCACCCTCTATCGTAGAACAGTTCCACCGTCTGTTCGCGAACTGATGCTGACATTCTAAGATTCCGAGCTGCGCCCCTCGACCCACGGCGGGCATGTGGTCCGTGAACAGCTGACACAGGCGCACTTGGCCGGGGGATAGTCCTTTTAACTGGGTACACATTGGTTGAGTACCAATCAAGTATAAATTAGGGTTCCTGAATACATTAAGTCTCGGCGATAATCCTAAGCTCCTGAAAAATAAAGGGAAATAGAAAATATATAAAATATTTCTTGTCCTTGTACGAGCTGAGAATTTCATAATGATATTTAATTCAAGTGTCGTATTAGAAATCTTGCTTCATGGAGAACGGAACAAGTCTTAGGGTTATAAAATTGGGTGTCTTTGAAGAAACGTGAAACAAACCTTAGTGAAATGATACAATTATATGTTCAACTGTAGTAAATCTTGAAATAACAACCGTATATACACACTGTACAGTAAAACTCAGTTCATAATTTAACAAAAATCTATGTCAAATCAGTGGTGGGCTTTTTCTCCCTTGCAGTGTTAATAATGAGTCCCGACACCCACATTTTAAAAGTATTTGCTTAGCTAATCTGAACACGAACAGAGAATTTTTCATTTTCATAAAGACATTAAAATGATCTTCAGAATCGCCCGAGAATTTGTCAATACCCAGTGGATATAAACCGTGCGTATTGATAACAGCAGGTGATAGTTTGTTTGCGCATTTCACTCGCGCTAGGATTCTAACAGAGAGGTGAAAAGTCATCTATTACTTATCGCTGACAGAAAACATGTCAATGTCTTTTAAGTGCATCCTTTTAAGACATCGCATTACCAGGTTCATTGAAAATGCAGGACAAATGAAAATAGCAAAAATGTTAAAAGGGAAAATAGATACCGACCATCGTAGCATTGTTTAATGCTTGCTATTTGTAAATTCAGATACGCATGAACATAAAAATCTGAAGAGCTGAGTTGGTCTGAAATTATGATTGGAATTCTCCTACTCACATTGGATTAAAAAGGTAGTATATTACACGAGATTCGAATAATATTGATGAAGAAAAGGTTTATTTAAGAATTTTTATTTTTAAATTTAGAGAAGTTTATTCCAACACTTACCACCATATGTCACCTATCCCAGACACAAGAAGAGGAAATAGAACTATATGTAGGAATATCCGAACTGTTAGTGTCCATAATACACATTTTCGCGCCATTTTCGCATATCACATGGATTTCTCCTGCACCTCTAAGAAAAGAAATAAAGACCGCATATTTCATATCACTTAATAACACACACATCCATGTATAGGATGCACATCACAAATCAAAGGCACTGTGGGGCTTAATAATGTTCCCCTCTTCCTTAATATTGACGGATTAATTTCTCCTACATGACAATGGCAGAATCTTTGATGAAATTATATTAACTAGTGACCAAATGTAAACGTATCATATGCATGTATAACGATTCCCGATTCCTTTCATTACGTTAAAAAACCTTGATTGATAGGCGCAAAAGATAGCTGGATGCAGACGACCGAATCGCACGCGCCGATTGGCTCTTCCGTATACAAACTCTTCAACTCGATTCTTGTCTCATAGCGCATGCAGGTTATTATTTGAACGAACGTTTTGTTTGTAGAATAAAGATATTAAAAAACTTGAGGTTGTAATCGTTTTAAGAGCTATCGAACTGAATGAAGTGGTATGAAAGAAAATAAGCTGAGGATTTCATTAAGAATAGATAGCTGTGCATAGCTGTGCATAGCGAGAGAGCAGCGCTTGACATTTCTTTGACTGGAATAAGTTAAATTTTACTTAATGACTTTTAACAAGTAAATTTTTCTTTCAATGGAAATGTAAACTAAAATATTTTCATTTTTCTAAAAACGTGGTATCCAATGCACAATGTTGTGTTTTTGATTGTCGTAAAGTTCGATCCCAAAGATCTGTTGACCATCGGTACGCTGCGCATAATTTCTTCTTCAATTATTTTTGGTCATTTGGTCGAATGATAGAATTATTTCAGGCTATAGATATGTGGAAACTAAACACAGGGTGACATTGTGTTAGATCTGTATATCATTTCTGCCTTCTGCTTGGTGCACGTGGCGGAAACGTTTTCATGCCAAACTTTGCAAGATAATCACGAAAACAATCGTAATTCTTGACGTTCAGCGACATCTAGGATATTATACAAACTAGCAACCTTAATAAAAATCCACAGGAAAAAGTCTGTCGGAACAGATACAAATTTGATTTACTAATGAACATTTGCGTTTTGTTTCGGGTATTTTCTTGTTTTTACATTCACACAGGCATTTAAAAATTAGTACATGTTTTAGAGATAAATAAGATGGACATTTAATGAAGAAAAGTCAAACACAAAATAAAGCTTACCAGAGGTGAGATAAACATAAATTTTCTAAAGAACAATTTTTCCCCTTATTCCTACTGAAGAAAACTGATTCCGGATAGATCTCTTCATATGCACATATTTAAAAAAAAAACAGAAGAACTTCAGTAACAATTGCTGTCTTGTGTCATATATATCTTTTTACTTGATCCTTTTAAGAACAGATAATCGGAACTTTACCGATTCCTTTAACAGGGAAATTTATCACACAATCCACCTACTCTCACACGGCATGTCGCAAAAATCACGGATACGTTCTCGCCAAACAGTTAATCCTGGCGTTAATCTGTTGATAATCTTGTTAAGCCAACGATATCCTTCAATCGGTCTTCAGGTAATGTCATAATATTTCGACAATGCATGAAAACATACACCCATTGTGTTTCAATCATTTCAAAACCTCGTCAAGTGTTCTTGATTGAAGCACCATTAATCAACCACTTAATAACCCTGCTAATCCGCGATAATCCGCAAAGAGCAGTGCAGTGGGGAAAACACCCGAACGCTCTATGAATTTGTCAAGTTTTCTTCCCTTTCATTTTTATCGCTAAAAAATAAATGTTTCCTCCACAGTATGATCGTAGACTAATTCCCTAAGCAGGTGACTTTTCCCTTTAGCCGAGATAATCCGACCGAACTGAAATTGTAAGGCCCAGCCTAGCGCTAAAGGAACACTATATTACTGGCTACACCGCTCAACCGTGTGTTCGGTGTACCCCAGTGATCACGTCTACTTCTCTCCCCGTAAACAGAAAGGAGAGAAAAAAACCTCCCCAAAGCTCAGAGCGCCCCTCTTTCCTCTAGGAGGTGTAATCAAAATGGTTATTGAAGAGGGGAGTCTCCCACGATAGCTTGGTATTTCATTGAGAATTTCTCATTGCTTTGTTTGCTAGCCCTTTTACGTTATGTCACTGGAGAGCTGTTTTTTATCTCTCTGCGTTAGAAAAACGCTTTCTCAGCGATCGTATATTTAAAATTCAATTTCAGGAGTAAATTCTTACATTATACCAGTTAAAAAATTAATTTTCGATAAAATGACTGAGATAGTACAAATGTTTATGGCCGACTCGGGTATCATGTATTGTGTGACCGCGAGGCTTGATTGTTCAACAGCCAGTGCGCGCAGCATGATTTTTAAATATGGTGACATTATTTCATTAATAGAAGAAGCATCAACGAATAATTTACACACTTAATTTACGATTTTGCACTCCTCAAAATCGTTGGCAAAGCCCAGGAACAAGATTAACATCGTCCTAAATTAGACCATAAAAATTTAATAAACAATTAATTTGAACCACCCCATAGAAAGTTGTACACCTATGTCCAGGGAGAACAAACTTTTTACTGAACCATTGATGTTCAAAGCATATTTTGTTGATATAAAACATCCATACAATGTAATTGAAGAAGGCAGTACAAGGGAGATCACCAAGATGTCTACCGAGGTTCTCAGAAGTCATTTTCTGAATGATCATGCATGTACAGATAGCTATACTCACATTTTTCTCATGTGTGGGAAATTTTCATCAAATTTTCTTTTATCGATATTAATATTTAATTAACAGTAAATGAAATGTATTTTTAAAAAATCGATGCAAATGCCATGCATAGAAAGGACTTATTCTACCAACAAAATCGCAAAAGCACGCGTTCCATGAAAAAAATTATAAATTCAAAGTATTAATTTCATTTTTAATGTCATATCGCATGTCTATTATTTCTTGAAGTAAAAGAGGATGTCTAAAACATTGTGACTCTTAAAAACTGAAAAATTATTGCATATTTGTACCTCTAATACAAAAGAGTGCATCAACTTTCATTTTAAGCGGTGTATAAATGTGCAGTGCAAGTTGCGTAAGTAACCTTTATTAGATATTTTCCAAAAAAATGTTCGCCTCTTCCGAAAAATAATGATATATGTCATATTTACATTTAATTCTAATAATCCCCCACACAACAAAGAACGCTATAGACCTGTGGGGCGCGAGGAATCAATGTCGACCCTGGCGGTTCACAATGGATCGAGACGGCGTCAATTTCCCCTATGTAATGTATATGAAATTATAACCCATATACAAAATTTCTTCTCACGGTATGAAAAGAAGCATCCATGTTCATTATGAAATGAACTCCTCTCAATGTAAAAAGCGATGATTGGGTTTTTGAATGTTGAACACGATGGCATATGACAGCCATTATGAGGAGCTATTTGGGAAATCTTGTTTAAGTCCATGTGTAATATGGCGACAGGGTTAAAGTTTGGGTAACAGTAGACGAAAGTGTCAAAGATAATCGTATCAAAAACGATAAATAAGATCTATTTAAAAGCCACTCATTTATCGGAAACTTTAAAATCAGCACAGATACGTTGGATGAACTACCGAAATCTTATTAATATCATTATGTTATATCCATGAACATTTTTGTAAGAGATATGAAGAATTTTCAATACGATTTTATCTGCTCGTTCAAAAATATCTTCTTGTGAAATTCAACCCTATATCAACAAAAAATGTAATATTGTTCATTTGGTATTATGTTATGCAATTGAAAATTGAACCATTCCCAAATAATGATGAAAAGTGATGAAAAAAATATAAAAAAAAAATACAGTTTCTCGATAAAAGATTGCAAAATGTAAATTGTTTAATTCTTTGTTTAAAAGGAAACTGAACCTACTTTTACCGCGGTAAAACCAATTGGGCAAATCTATTTTTACCTAAATCTGAATGACATGATTGCAGTATGAGAGTGCGAAGCGAAAATCCAAAATGACCTAATTTTGCTATGGGGAAGGGGAGGGGGGGTCAAGGGAGGTCAGTAGATGTATGGTGGATTGTAAATATCTAACTCAGAATTTCCGACTGAAGATAAAATTCCAGGAACTCCGGGGCTATATATAGCTGATAAAATACCAGAGTTCCTTCTGGAACAAAATAATTTCCATTTTACTGCTGAAGAAAGCGACTGAAAAAATTACGAATAAAGGACAAAATAACATGGAAGATATAAATTTGACTGACGGTTAATCATCGGCTTCTTAGAAAGGTAATCTATAGACGTATGTAACGATGTTAGAAATTATGACAACTGTTATACAATAAACACTTAAAAAATTCATTGTTGGTTTCTCTTGCACTTTTAAGTGGTAAACTTGGGTGGTCAAAATATTTAAAATCTGACAGAAATAAAAGTATTATTTCTAGAATGGTTTACCAATTAAAATACCAATCAAAGCGAGTGACACAAAGTGGCCCGGTGACGTCATAATCGGTGCGTTCGAAGTGAACACCAGAATTCATGACACATTGAGAATGATGATCACTTGAGATAAATGAAGTTTGATGGTGAAAGGCCAAAAGTTATGCTTAGAAATTATTACCCTGAATTTGACAAGCAATATAAACACTTCATAGCTGTAAACCACTTACACGAAACCATTTTTCCTTATGTAATATTTGGAATCTAAGTGTATATGCCAGAAATTCTCTCCTTATACCCACAAGAGCTCGCACGATCCGTCTGCGGAGAGTCAATTATCGCATTATCACGGGATAAACTGTCCAAACACTCGTATTATCCTTTATAAATCGTCTTCACATATTGTTTATAATCACTTTAGTTCGATTTTTACAACTTGCATAAATTAGGTACCAGGATCCACTTCATAATATTTTGTAGACAAAGTATATCAGCAACTACACTGTCCTAATTTCATTCAATAAGTTCTGTCTCTTAAGTTCATATAGCACCCAAAGATTGATACGAAATATTCCCTAATACCTTTGAATACCATCACAGAAGAGTTACAAATTATAAGAACTTCCGTCATCCATGATTTGTAATCAAATTTTAAATAAAAAAAATATCAAGAGAGATCTAGATAGCACTGGGCTTATGGCCCAGGGTGGTGTGAATTCTTTGGGCGCGTTTTTAACCTTCAGAATAAGATATAAATATCAGATACATATTAAATATTTCACCCTGTTGACAATGACACTTGTTCCTATTTCATTGAACGCACACAATTATTAGACCACTTTAAAGGCCACTATAAGATGTAGTGATACGACTTGAAACGACAAAGGCGAGAAAACAAATTTTTATTAATTCATTAAGACCAATTCCATGTATTAATAATTTCAACACTTCGCTGCCTGCCTTTTAACACTGGAGATATGTATCGGATTTCATGTAAAAGTTAACCCGAGCGAGGCATAGTGCATTTAGTTAATGTTGTGAGCAGGGACCAGGTGCAAATCTACAGGTGTGGATTTCTGATCGAATCTCTAAAATAAGTACACGCTTGGATGGAATTATCAGAAACCTATTCAAATTAACTTGTATATCGCACCGACACCCCATTAGATTTGTCATAACTTTATCGCCTTTAAGGTTTTTTTGATAAATTAGGTACAGTTACATTGCAAAAAAAATAAACTTTGAATTATTTCAAAATTGAGCTTAACTAATAGGGTTCGCCTATCATTATATTGCAGAATTGAGAGTACATAATGCAATTGAACACATGGGGAAAATTACTCTTCAGAATGTCTTGACTTGAGAAAAATCTCAGAAATCTAGACTTCATAGATTTTCCTTTTAATTAAGGAAAAAATGCCCATATATTATATTCGATATGTTTATTAATTTATAACATGTATAGATCATGGTTACCGAATAAATATGTTGCAACTTATATTATTTTATAGGTCACAACTGAGTCCAACAAATTTTTACCCCCCCCCCCCCCCCACAGTTTGTAATACGGTTTTCAGAAATAAAAAAAAAAGAGAACTCTTGAAAATTCGACGCCGTACTAAACATCAACAAACCTCTTCTCCTTTTAATTCATCCGATCTTCCCTCTGTTTTGATAACTCATGTTCGAATTTTTTTTAAACTTGTACAGCATCTGCTCAATTAATCTAATATTTCTGGGGTCTTTTAGAACATGAACTATTTTTTCTCTTCTAAGGTCAGCTAGAGAAATTTTTGCGTCACTCCGACATCATAACATCAAGCCCTACTGAGTCTAAATGAGCCCCGAATGTTTTACTACAGCAGGGCTGAGTATATGTACCGTATCGTAACCGTGACCTTGACGTTTATTTAACGTAAACAAAATGAAATAAACTCCGATACAATATCAAAATTGCGGATTCTTTCCTAGCGAGGAGTGAGCGTTAAAGATGCGTCATAATTGAAAGGTGCGTGCAGCGTTTTCACCTATAAATGGGTTACATGTAAACTTACGTTTTCTCGTAAGCCAGCATTGAGCAATGTTCGAAATCTGAACGATCGGTAAAATTGTTCTTACATGTAAATGATGATTGGATTGTAATTTCGATTTGGATTTGCAGGTTTTTGTACCTGTCATTAAATTGATGATTATACTATTTAATTTAATCTTAATTTCATTCAATACGATCTATCATACAGACAGATTTATATATATCGACGAATAAAATGTTAAATATTCGCCAGGGAATGCACAGAACTTTGCTTTGATGATAGATTTTTATATCCTTCTATTGAAAGAAAAAAAATAATTGGAATTGGTTATGTTTTTTAACTCTTGAATTAATAAACGCATTGACCTGTCGTTTTGATCGTTCATTAATTTGTACACGTTATTGATCGCTGCCAGGGTTTTTTGAAAGACATTAAACGGCCCTGAGCTTATTTACTGATGAAGTTCCACAGGAAAAAAAATAAGAATAAAGTAAATCTTTGACTGGTTGCACACAGGTTTTCAAAGCACTCTTT